TGGCAGTGAACAAATTTTCGCTGAACTTTTGATGCTCTACAGAAAATTGGGGACAAGGGAAGGTTTTTTGCATATATCGCCTATCGATAACTCGACTTTCGACATGATAATTAATCGATAAAATATTATAACTGCTTGTTTGATTGTCTTTTTATGAAAGAGTGATTGAAACTTGCTTTCAAAATAATTCGAATTTCAATATTGTCCCGATTACTTATCGATAACAACATATCGATAACATCGATAACAGCCGTTGGCACGATAATTAACTACTAAAAACAACATTCATGTATTTGATTATCTTTTGATGCTAACTGGCTTTAAACTTGCTTTCAGGGTGTCCCGATTATTAATCGATAACACATTTTTCCGAATTTATAGCCTGAATCTATTGTTTCCTGCGTTTTCCCTTAGCTCATCTACCCCTCAGCCCTATTTGCAAGAGTACCCAATAAAATTTGCAAATTGAGAGACAGCAAACAAAAAAGAAAGAAAAGAAATATATGAGAGCCTGCGAGAAACGGAATATTTCAGTTGCAAGGAAAAACTGGCAATGGCCGCCAATGCTCTCTGGTGACTCCTCCGTGTGCTTATTAAATATTAATTATGCGACAGAGCGGCGGAGTCGCAGAGTAATAACAATAACAGAGTGTATATATTTGTGTGCACAATTTTTATGGCCAGAACCACTTGGATGTTGGGCCAACAAACACGAGAATATTATTATTCCTAGTGCCACTAGGCGTGTCAGCTCATCCAAGTGTCTCGAAAGATGATTGTAGTGGTGGTGGTGGTGGTGGGGGGATTGGGTATGACAAATTTGGGCATTTGACACAAAACAAGATACATTTGCATCTCATCTTGTTTGTGGATGTATCTATAACAAAAATTCTGTCGCTCAAAGGGCAGACATCACGTGGGTTCCTACAGATACTTCCCAGCGTACTTGCAGATACACTCTTTAAGTTGTATCTCTATCATTTATTTTTTGCACGAATATTTGCAATGCTAATTGTAATTGTCGGCTTGGATGCTGCCTGCTCTCTGTCTGCCTATCTGCCTGCTGCTGCTGACAAGTGATCTAGCCAAAATCATCATTATTTTTATGGGCAAAACTCGTTTCCGAGTGCTGCCTGCCCGTGGTATCATCATCATCGTGGGCGTGCATCGATTAGCTTGTGGTACGTCGTGTGTATCTATCGCTTACAAACGATCGTGGAGCCCCTCCTTCACCTCACTCTAAGAGCTAATCCAGCGCGCAATCAAATCGATTTTGCCAGCGGGAGGAAACCCAACCAAAAATTAATAGCCAGAGCTCTGGATTTTCTGTTTTGTGTTGAAAAATTCAAATTTTAGGCTTTGGTTACGACTTCCCTTTCGTTTTCAGCACGGGCATTTGTCATTATAAAAATTACATTTAATTATATTTATTTTGCTGCTCCAAAAAACAAACTTCCGTTCCAAAAAAAAGGGAAACAAATGAACAGATGGAATCGTCGTTGTAGCTGACTCCGTTCCGTTTCGTTCTTCCACTTTTCTGTTGTTGTTGTTGTTGTTGTTGCTGTTGAGAGCGTGCGGGAAATTCATTAGCAATATTTATGACTATTTGTTGTTGTTGTTCGTGTCTTTTTTTTTCGTCTACTGTCTACTGACTAATTTCCATGGCAATGGGAATAATCGTAGAGCCCCGGCTACAGCGTCATTATTATTGTTACTCTCTCGTTGGCCCCACGCCCCTCGTTTCCTTTGTTTGCATCAATTATTTGTTGCTCTCTGAGGCAGCCCATTGTGTGTGTGTGTTGTGCCCTCTGTATGCCACTCTGCCACTGCCTGCTTATGCAAACAATTGTTAGTCATTGCATTGAAAAACAGTCAGCAGTCAGAGAGAGAGAGAGAGAGGGAGAGAGTGCAAAAATCAATGAGAATATTTTTTCTCAGCACTCGCACAACATTTCTATTCTATTCCGCAACAACTAATATATCACATCATCATTATCTTGCAATCTTTCTGGCAATTACTGCCACAAGTTGTTGCTGCTTCAATGCCCCTCCTCGTTTTTATGGCCATTTCGTGAAATTAATTGCCATACCCCGGAAATCAATTTCATTTTTGTCAATCTAACGAACTAAATCCCCAAATATTTGCTCTATCGAAAATATATACAAACATCCATATGCCATATATAGAGCGAGATATCATATTTCTCGCTCTCTGGCCAATGGGTGTGGGATCTGCTCATTAATCGACAAAAGTAGCTGCAATTTTTGGTCGTAGATCGTCGATGCAAATCGATACAAATAAAATCATATGCAAATATGTGGAAATGCAAAAGTTTTAGGCAGACAGCTGTGTGCATAAAGCTAGCAGCCTAAAATTCATTAAGTGCGCCAAAAAGCGCATTTTATTTGTATATCACGAGGCAAATGTCAAAGCTGCCGTTTTATGTTGGTTTTGCAGTATTTAAAGTCTTTTAAAAATAAAACTAAAATATGGTTTTAGTAGTTGTTTGAAAGCATAACAAAATTAACCTAAATGTATGGCAAACTAAACCTATATAATTCCTTCCTAAAACTATTTGTTTTTCATGGTTAAATCATGTCATTCCTCTGCCTACCTTAACTACCTCTAATATTCGCCAAAAATCTATAGCTCTTGCCTGGAATGTTCTTAAATTTTCTTTAATATATTTTTGCAATTATAAATCCCGCAGTTGTATAAATATTTCCCTCCAACTTCTATCGCTGTTAACTAACCTTAAATTAGGTTTCAAAATCCATTTCCACTGCAAAGGTTTCGGTTCATTTATGCAAAAATATATTTCATATGCTGCTATCGTGTACCCATAGATACATATTTTTGCTGCCAAAGATACAATTCACACTCCATCTCCTACTTTTGCTCCCGTGTTCGATGCCCTGTCCTTGGACGCCGTCCCCCATTATAATCCCCACACATTCATAGCCTTGTTTTTGTGTGCGCTTGTAACTTAGATGAAGATACATTCACATCACTTATATATATGTATTTGTATCTCTTTTTTGAGATCTGAGCTTTAGTTATGTGCATATCTGTCGCCCTGCTGAAGCATGGAGCGGGCAGCAGCAGCAGAACATTTTGTAATATAATTTTCGGTTTTTGTTGTCAGCTCAATTTTCAAGTTGTTTCAGATACGAGTACACTTCTCCCTTCTCCTCGTTGCTCCTCTTATTCCAGACTTCCATGTGTGTGTGTTTTCTGCATCTGTGTGTTTGTTTGTTTGTTTGCCTTGCGGTTGCTGTTATTCTCATTTCTGTGTTCTTCTTCTGTATATTCAAATTTTTTCCACGCATTGGAGGAGTTTTGCCAGCAGCTGCCTTTGTTATAGCTGCCACTGTTGCTGCCACTGCCCCTTGGTGATGTCTCACTATGATATGACAAAATACACTGCCAGAAAAAGAACAAGGGCAGTCTGTGTGTTCTGTTTGTCTGTCTTTCTGGCTGGCTGGCTGGCTGGCTGGCTGGCGGCATGCCTGACCTACTCAATTTATGCATTCTTCTTGCCATTGTAACAGATGTTTGTCTGATTATCTCAAAAGGAAGTTCGGCTCAAATTATTTGCCCGGAGATGCTCCAGAAAGATGGCTTTAAAGTGAAAGTTCAGCTGTGTCGAGGCATGTGTTGATTTTCTTCTTAGAAGTGTAAGGCAAATAATGGAAAGAATTTCCATTTTTCTTTTTTGGTTAATTTTTTGGTTTAAATTTGTTCCGTTTAAATTGATTTTTCTCTTAATAAACTTCTAAAAATAAACTTGTCTGTACATTCCAAGTCATCTTTTCCTCTCCCAAAAGGGTTTCCCTTTGCTCACCAAAAACCCTTTCGTAATTCCTGTGTGTTTCCCCCAGTTGGTTCCTTTTCTTCCCTCACTCTTGAATTTAGTTTTTGCTGACTGTTTGTCATCCATCCCACATATTTGTCGTCATATTTACTTTTGATTTATGCAGCGTTGCTCCAGTCCGTACCCTCACCAACCTCCAATCTCCCACTCAGCCAGCTACCTCCACTCTTCCCCCTCTCTGCCATCTGTGGCTCCCCCTCTGTGTGCTGTTTTGTTGTGTAAACATTTGCATTATGTTAAATAAACCCACAAAAAAAGAGTATTTTGACAATATCGAGATATTATTTGCATTGCCAGCCCCAAAACAATAACTCAACAACATTCAAATGCAGTCCAAATATTTGTTTGCTACTTATACCGAGTAGTACTTATACGAGAGTAGCTCAGTAGCTCTTTCTCTGTGCTTTCTCTCCACGTTTGTCTCTTTTTGAGCCTACTTCTTGGTTACTTCTTGGGAACAGACTTGTACCTCATCATCTGTCTTTTGTTCTTCAACTTCTTCTGTGCAGATACTCTAGTTTGATTGGCTCTTCTACTGTTTTTCTGCAGCTCTTCTATTAGTTCCATTGTTTTACATTAAACTTTTCATAATTTTCAAGATTTGATCACAATTTTGACAGATCTGAACTTCATAGGTGCAGTACTTAATTTTTTGCCATACTTCTACTTCTTTTTGGTGTTCTTTCTTTCTTTTCGACAACTCGGTAAAGCGAACCTTCTTCTTATACTTTCTCCTATGCTTCCTCTTACAATTATTCTGAGAATTTTTGTAAACTTGATCTTATATTCCATCTTTTACTTTGAATAATACGACTTTGCTCCATAACTTTGTTCGTTATTTGCTTTATCTTATACTTCATCTTATACTTTCTCTTATACTTCACCTTATCTGTTCTCTTATGAGTCATCATATATGTAATCACTTGTATACTTTATCTTATATTCACTCTTATACTTTTTCTTATACCCACTCTTATACTTTTTCTTATCCTCACTCTTATATTTTTTCCTATACTTCCTCTTATATGTTTACTCCCCTCGCAAATGTCATATTTATACCCAACATTTTACTTATACACCCATTCTAAGCAACTCTTTTTCCTTCCTTTTCGCAGTACCAACTGATTCGCCAACATAGCCAGCTACCAGGACCTGTTGGGCAGCCATCATCAACTGCTCATTGCCGCCACAGCAGCAGCCACCGTCGCCGCTGTCGCAGTCGAGCCGCCTCCGCCGACGACGCCGCCACAACTGCCGCAATTGACGACGACGCCACCCATAGTCACCACCAACATCTCAATACCCAACAACCCGATTCACAACAACAACACAAACACAACAATAACAACAACAAACAACAACAACAACAACCAGCAGGCGGTGTTCGAAAAAGCCATCACCATTTCGTCGATTGCGATTAAACGCAGGCCGACGCTGCCGCAGACGCCAGCAAGTGCCCCACAGGTGTTGTCGCCGTCGCCGAAACGCCAGTGTGCCGCCGCCGTCTCAGTGCTGCCCGTGACCGTACCTGTGCCCGTGCCCGTATCCGTGCAGCCCCTGCAGCCCGTACAAGTCCCAGTGCCAGCCAGCGCCCTCAAAGGACACCATCACCATCTGGGAAATCATATTGGAAGCCATCTAGGAACTCAGCTGCAACAGCATCCCCACCATCCACATCATCAGCTGAGCTTTGCCCATCCCACACAGTTTGCGGCCGCCGTTGCAGCCCACCATCAGCAGCAGCAGCAGCAGCAACAGCAGCAGCAGCAGCAGGTGCAACAGCAACAAGTTGCTTACGCAGTAGCGGCAGCACAGCAGCCACAACTGCAACAGCAGCAGCAGCAACAAGTGCAGCAGCAACAGCAGCAGCAGCAGCGTCTGGCACAGTTCAATCAAGCGGCAGCAGCTGCCTTGCTCAATCAGCACTTGCAACATTCGGCGGCAGTGCACCAGCAGCAAGTGGTGCAACATCAACAGCAGCAACAGGCAGCAGCAGTAGCAGCACAACAACAGATACAGCAGCAACAACAACAACAGTCGTTGGCCCACTACGGCGGCTATCAGCTGCACAGGCACTCGCCGTACGTGCAACAGCAGCAGCAGCAGCAGCAGCAGCAGCAGCACATTCTGCTGAGTGGCGGCAGCAGCAAGCAGAGGGAAAACAACAACAGCCAACAGTCCGCACCAGCAGCCGTTGCAGTTGCAGCTGCAACAACACCAGCAACAGCCACCGTTGCCGCTGTACCCACAAGCGGCGGCAGCAGCAGTTTACCGGACAGCCCCGCCCACGAATCGCATTCACACGAATCGAACTCTGCGTCGGCCTCTGCGCCTACGACACCCTCACCGGCAGGTAGTGCCACAACAACAGCAACAACAGTTGCAGCAACAACAGCAGGAGGAGTCAGCGATAGCAACAACAATCTCGCCGCCGCTGCCATAATGGAAAATCAAATGGCACTCGCCCCCTTGGGACTCTCGCAGAGCATGGACTCCGTGAATACGGCCAGCAATGAGGAAGAGGTGAGTGACAGGCTACAAGCATTTTTCCTTTACACCACTAAAGAAAATAAAAGAAAAGCCAAGCGAAAAAGAAAATCCAAAAGAAAACGAGGTTTTTCTCTGCGACAAAAAAGCTGACAGCTTGGGGAATATTTTTCACAGCAACCAAAAATGTCTAAGAAAAAACTCCACTCAAATGTAGAATTTTGGGCTAAGAAATTTACATTTTCATGAGGCAATGCAAATTATCTCGGGGACTGGACCTATTTTATATTTGGGTGGTAAAAGTTCAGTATTAAAGAAGTGCCAACAAAATGTCCTTGCTTCACTTCAAATCCTAATCCAGTGGAAAGAAACATTGATATAGAGAAATATTTATAGTCTAGTCGAAAGTCTTAGGAAAAATCTGACCGGAATATTTTATATCAAGTGCCGTTCGTTTAGGGCACATTTTGCAAAGGAGTTTTGTGGATTTCGATCCTTAGTCCTTAAGGATTTCTTAATTTCCGATTAAAAGTGCACTAAAAGAAAGTAATATATTTTTAAATCAATTTTTGGAAGTGTTTTTTCCCCTGTTTTTAATATGAATTCAAGTTTATGCTTTACTTCATGTGTATCGAATATTTATATTCTTCGCATAAAGAAATTCTCTTAATTTTCATTCCCAAAAATACATTTTCCCACGAATTTCCTTCACTCATTTCCCAAGAATGCGAAAAGCTTTCGCCCACCCCACACGATTCAATTTCATTTGTTCCTTAAAGACTTTCGCTTGCTTTTGAGAGAGGCGCCCGCAAATAGAAAATATTAATGATCGATATGTCGAGTGGTCGTTCGCTTGCATTTCATTCATTTCACTCGCCCTCGCCCCGCCCCGCCCCCACACTCGAATCCTCACGAAGCACCCATCTCATTTATGCACCGCCCTCCCTCCCTCAATCGCTTTCTGTGCCACAAAGTGCGCGCTACATCAACTGGCAGCTCAGGCATAAGATTTTTGTTCCATCGCCTTTTGTTTTTTTTTTGCTTTCTTTTTTGTTTGTTTTTGGGGGAGGGCCAAAGCCAAGGGGGCAGGATCCCTGCTGCTTTATGAAGCCAAAGGGCCAGAGGTTGGGGGCTTCTGCACTTGTGTAAGTGGCATGTGCAACCGGAGGATGATGCTGGCTGGCTGGCGGGCTGTAGTTGTTGTTGCTTACATTTTGATTATGCGCCTTGTCTTATGCTACACATATTTCACGCTGTTGCCTCAGCGCGCCGCCCTTGCCCCTACTTTCATATTTCTTTCGGCCTCGTGTGGAGCTCTCTCTCTCTCTCTCTCTCTTTCTGCCACGCGTAATCCATGCGGCACGTGCCCTGCATGCCCCCCTACCAACACACTGCTGCGTTTCGCTGCGTTGCCTTCATGTCAAGTGGAATACGTGGCCTTACACCATACACTCACAGACCCGCCCCCAAGCCTGTGTCTCTGCCCCCTAAAAATCCAAGCGATGCGTTAAATTTGATTTTATCCTTGATAAAAAGGTTCTCCTCCTTCTCTCTCTTTTTGCTCCTTACTTTCCCTCGATTATGAATTTTTATTTGCTTTGAGCGCGTGATTTTGGAAAATTTAAGCAGCCTTGAGAGTTACCCCCTTTAGCCGCAGTTATATTTCCATCATTCAAGCCGGCTGCCATCCTTAAAGAGGTCGTCTCTACCCTGCTCCTAGTGTTCAAAACGCATTCCATTTTTCGTAACTCCTTTGCGCATTAAAAATGCATCAATCACATGAGCCGGGGGGAGAAAGCCCTGCCCAAATGTACCTGCCACCAAAATATAAAAAGTACAGTAAACTGCACAGAGTAAAATATAAAGTCCATGCTGAGTAAAATATAAAATTTCTCTTGAGTAAAAATGGGAAATATTTCTGACTAGCGCAAGTCCTAAATTAATCAAAAAAACTTATGCGAAAAAGTAGATGAAAGCAATTTTAGGTGGAAAAAACCTGAGATAAAGGATGAGAAAAAGCTTGAGAAGGAAATTAAAATAGGGAACTTTATATAGATATCCAGGGAAAGAAAAGAGGAAGATTTCAAATGGTATAGAAAACTACAAGCAGGTGAGAGAAAACTTATAGGAAGTATCATGCAAATAGTATGGGAAATCACTAGAAAGCAAGGATTGGAAAAGCAAGCTGAAAACAAGATAATTACAACAACCAACATCAATTAATAACGTCGCTAAAGTATCAGCTCTATGATCGAACATTTATTATGAAAAGACAATTTAATGGATCAAATTTTAACAAATTTGTTCAAAACAAAATATTTATGAATTTATTGCAACATTTTCTTCGATATAGATAATATATGTGGATAAATGTTTACCGAATTTTAACGATTACCAATGATAGAAATGATACCTGCCCTGTTTAAAGCCATGGCTTGATATAAAGTGAGAAAAACTCACAGGAAAAAGTTCTATATCTTACAGTATATATTTTCTGGTTCCATTATATGCAGACAGTCGTTGATTCTGCAGCCTCAACTGCAGCTCTACCTTTGAATATCTCATTCAGGCTCTGATTTTCCTTCTGTACTTTCGATTCTCTCCCCAATCTCTGGTTCTCTCAGCCTCTCTCTCTTTACCCCCTTCAATCCCTGTCCCTGCCTCAACCTATGGCGTATCGCTCTCATTTTCTTTCTTCTCCTACTCTATTCATTTACACTGAGACGACTGCAATGTGACTTCATTTGTATTTATGAGTATTCATTCCTGCACTCAGCCTCTGCACTTTTTGTGTGCCACACTCCACACACTCTCAACACACATGGATGTGTTTGTGTGGCTGTTGCATGAATTATTGATAAGTCAATTAAAAAAGTATGACAGCGACTGATGGTTGGTAAATATTTTACGCCATACACTGAAACTCAAGTCGTGTGTTGCTACGACAGAGAAAGGATACGGAAGCACGCCCACACCCACACAGGATACTCTTGAGAGCTGTGAGGCTGAGAGGTTGAGCTCGCTTGATTCCAGGTGTATTCCCCCTCGTATTATATGGCATATCCCTTGGGTGTTTGCTTGTCATCTGCAGCAACAGCAACAGCAACAGCAACATATTGCTTTTCTTTCATTTTAAACGGTTTTGATGTGGCAAGAAAGGCAATTCCCCCAACCTACCCCCAGGTGGCTTTAAGTGACCAGAAAATAGGTGGAGCGAAGGGTGGAGGGGCTCGTGTCCCTGCAACTGATGCAAAAGTGGCACTGGCCGAAGCACAGCAGGGGCCATCGAGCAGTCAAGTGTGTGCATCGTGCCATGTAAAATCCCCAGTATGTGTTTGTGCAACATGCAATCGACTAGCCGCCTGCCTTCCCCCCCTCCTTTGGACCCTGCAGAGACCTCAACGATGACTCCTTTTGCACTCGCTGCAAAACTTTGTGGCATCACGTCCTGCCTGTGCCAGTGCTCGTCGCCTTTGTTTAAATGCAAAATGTTGAAAATATATCTAGAAAATAAACTTAATAAAACTTGTCACACGGCTGTGTCCTGCCACTGGAGGCACAATCCCACTGACATCACATCCTGGCCAGAGACACACGCAGAGCACACACAATTAAACTTTTAACTTTTTTTGGAATTTGCTTACCCCTCAGCAGGCCTCAAGGGGACCCTCCCTTGGCCACGATGCGTCCGTCTACATTCCACATTTTTGTCATGTGCTTGCTGCTGTTGCACTCAACGGAAATTGCCATGTGCCAAAATGGCAGGCAGTTCGTGCCACCTACTCAGACTCCGCCTGCAGCTCCTCCCCCGACTGCCACTCATTTTCCGCCCTCATTTACCCTGCTCTCACCCTGACAGTTTTCTAGTTGTAGTTTTTGGACTTTTTATTTCAATTTGCTTATTTATTTGCTTGCGAAATTCAAATAATATAATGCCCCCCACGCCCCAGCTCCCACCCCAAAAAGAATATCAGAAGTTAAAAGTTGTTTTGTTTGTCTGTCAGGCAAAAGTTTTGTTTGTGCTGGGGCTGCCACAAACTGTTGCATATGGAGCTCTCACTCACACTCAGTCTCTGACTGTCTCGCTCTCAATTTACAAAATAAAAAACTGACAAAATAAAAACAAAAGCTTTTTGGCCCAATGAATTTCTGTTGCTAAAACAATTCACACGCCTCCCCAGAGAGATCTCTCTCGCTCTCCCTCTCCCTCTCCCTCTCTCCCTGTCCCTCTCTTGAGTGTGTGTTTTCCCTCCCAAATTGTTCCTTATTTCCCCCCCGCTCTGTGAAAGCTAAATGTCAACTGTTTTGTATGGGTATTTTATTTACTTTTGCTCAACATTTGCATTTTGTTTGTCCTTGTCCCTTTTTTTCTGTGTTTTTTTTTGTTGCCCCCCCGTTCTAGGGTTTTTCCTATTTTGACAAGGCTTTTAAGCCCTGACATCAATGCAGTTCCACACAAATTGCTTTACGTGGTCAACGAAAAAAAAAAACAATGAAAAAATGTCCCTGCCACTTGCAAAAATTCCATTTCCAATTCCAGGTAGCCGCGATTCCCTTTCGCCATTTCTCCATTTTCTTTTCGTTGTGCCATAATGTGGCCAAGTCCTTGAGCGCCATTAGGCAAGTGCCAGCCAGCCAGGCAGTCCTTGAGTTTGGGGTTAACTTCCTTGCACACCAGTAGAGTGGTGCAAAAAAAGTGCCAAGAAGTTGCCTTTTCTATCTCCATTTGGTGGCTTAATTCAATTTGCGTTTAAGACAATTTTTGGCACTAAATGAAATTATTAAAAGGTTCAGACAAGAAGTGGAAGTAATAGCTGGAGACTCCACACTCTCCCCCTTGGTCTTTCTCTCTTTTGCTGCTGATATTATCGGAAATAATTTGTGTAAAACTAAAGCGACAAAATCAAATTGCAAGCCGATGTAAGATTGCAAAGGAGCAAAACCAAGAACCACCAGGCAGTAAAAAGGAGTTTTAGAGATGGAGCAAGACAACTGCTAAGTGATGCACTGAGAAAAAACGGGAGAGATGTGCCAAG